AATTTGCAGTGACTTTATACTATTTTGGATATAGGGAGGGCTCGACATATTTAATATCGTGGAAGTTGCCTAGCTTGTTTTGTGAAAGTTGACTAACCTGGTTGTGGAAGCCCAGAATAGTTAATGATGTGCATTTTATGTCCTCTGTGGAGTCCCAGAAGGAATTCCAGGAATGAAAATTTGAACTAAGGAAGTAACTGACCTTCCCTTATTTAAGCTAAAGTGGAACAGTCCACATTTGTCCCTCCCCGTTTCCTTTTGAAGACAGAAAATCTGTTAGGTCTTAAGTATATCAAGGCCAATAAATAGTTCTTTCTGTGGAGTCCCAGAAGGAATTCCAGGCATGAAAATTTGAACTAAGGAAGTAACTGACCTTCCCTTATTTAAGCTAAAGTGGAACAGTCCACATTTGTCCCTCCCCTTTTCCTTTTGAAGACAGAAAATCTGTTAGGTCTTAAGTATATCAAGGCCAATAAATAGTTCTCGACTTTCAGTCAAATGAAGTATCCAGAATATCAGATCAATTCCAGATGGTCTGTTGCATATAAGTTAAAAAGAAAAAAAAAAGGGACAAAGCTACAAAAGGCAAAGACAACTGGTAATTAGAATCTAGTACAATAAGAAGTAATGAACTAGAATGTATGGGCTAATGAGGAGTAAAATAAGAACTTTAACATTCTTTTGTGAATTCTGAATATATAGGTTAGTGTTTAGCCATCTTTAAGTAAATTTGGAACTGTTTGAGGTTACTTTGAAATCTCTGGGTCTGTCAATGTCCCTATTTTATCTATTACTGGTTCTTAACAGCAGAGTGAATATGTAGGGTTTGGACAGCTCTGTTCTAATAATGACAGAGATGTTTAGAAAATTTTGCAAATCCTTTGAGAAACAGTATTATCTGTTTGTGTTAACAGAAAAGGTTTGCATTAATAAAGCACAAAGATAAGAGTTGCCAAAAAGTGTTTTGTTTTTAAATAGCTGTTTATTCACCTTTGTAAACATCTGTCCCTTCTCCTGTTTTCCTGTCAGATAATAGTTTTGAAATGTTGAGTTGAATAATTTCCTTCTTGTACTTCATGAGAAATATTTCTGAAATTGCTAGTGATTTTGATTTTATATATTAAAAATTGTTTAATGTCTATATTCTCTGTTAGAGTATAAGTTCCACAAGGAATATATTCTGTCTTTATTGTTTATTAATGTTCCCAAGCCCCTATTCCAAGACCTGGCCATGTGGTATGCTCCAAATATCATGTATTGAATTAACTCATTCACGATCATTCTTACCCATATTTGAGTATTTTTACACTATTAAAATTATTTTATTAATAAAAGTAAAAGTGGGATAAATCTGAATTTGTAAAATTTAAGACAAGGTCCATGAGGTGAAAAATAGCACAGTAGGGAAAGAACTTGTTCACTTTTGCACCTCCATTTCAGAACAGTGCCTGCGCACGATATAGCTCAGTAAATATTTGCTGACTCATTGACTGGCTCAATAAATATTTGGTGACACAGTAGGTATAAAGCAATGAAGATATATTAAGAAAACATAGAAATAAGAATTTAATTGAATATGAAAAGATGTGCAAAAGATGTGTAAATAAACTTGATGATTATTTGGAATATATTTGCTATGAGGTTTATGGAAAAGATTCAATTCAGACTATGGCCTAGACCCTGATATTCTTCTTAAATTAAAAAAAAGTTTTTTATGCATTACAACTCTTGATCTAATGAAAAATGACTTTGTGATTTTTATATAGACCAACCTTATTTTAAATATATTAATGGCCACTTGGCTTCTAAGATTAAATTTGAGTTTTATATATTGAATAATTTTGAATATCTATAATGTGCTATGCTGGAACTGAACATTTAATAAATTTAATTTTTTAAACATTCTGAATTACTTATATTGTTGTTTCAGTTTTAATGAACTATGTGAATCTATACATATATATTTTTAATTTAGTGCCCCAATGCCATACCTGATTGGAATACACTCCAGCCTCATAGAGGTGAGTATCTTTTAGACCTGAGATAGTGATAAAATTAACTCATAAAAATAATAGTTAAAGCTGTTTTGTTGTGAGGGAATATCAATTGAATAGTACAGAGATTAGTTTTATATTCAGAGTATGATTAAATGATAATTTTAAAAAAGGTATCATTGAAATAATTTCGTTTAAATTAGTATACTTAAAGGCCATTTTCAATGGCATGCAACCCATGAAAATAGGTTTTATTTGGTAGAAGTCATATGGTAAGTTTTAAATTCTAAAACCGTTAGTCCTTGATGAACCACTTGCTTTATGGCAGCTTAATATTTTTTATATCTCTTTTTCAGATCTATATTTTGGAAGTCAAAATTTACATACTTAAGAGTCATAAAATGAAACATTTTTATTTTACAAACTTCATTATGTACCATTTTATCGGTATGCTTTTTCAAAATGTGGTTTTAACATACTTATCAGGAACCTTTAGATAAATTAGAATATAGCTTTTATTTTTTAAGTTTTAATTCTCAGTCCTGTTGAGGATATAATATTTAGTAATTTGTTTCCCAGTGTGACCACATCATTCCAAAATGATTTTTGTCACTTAAATTATTCCTATGGTTAATCACCTTGAACTTGAAGTCAGTGAGACTTCCAGAGAGGACTTCTTGTTAGATTAGCATCTAAAAAAATTAACAAAAGGCTTGGATTAAAACAAAAGACTTATGTTAGTTGAATGGCATCATTATGCTGGATGATTTCAGTTTTATTCAAATAAACTTCTCTTTTACTGGTTGTGCAGATTGCACTTTAACCCAGTTTCTAAATGAGCAACCTAAATGAGTTAGATTGGGTTTTCGTGTTAGTTCTTGTGACTGAATACACCATCAGTCCTTACTTTGATTAAAGAAGATTCTGTTGATATGTTTTAAAACTACTGTGGTTCATATTAGGAGTTATGCCCCTATACAAGGCCTGGATTATGGAATTCTACCTGTGCTTTAGCTTTGGGCATGTTTTTCTTTCTGCAGAATGCTAGGGCAACATTTTTTATTTGCTTCGCCATTAATAAAGAGTACATTTCAATGAATTTATTTAGTAGGTTTGTTTTTAGTACTGAACTCTGGGCTGGATAGCTTTATGGCTCCTTATATCTTATTCATTTTTAGAAAACTTGTTCTTACATCCCAAGGTTCTTGCAGTAAAAGGACAAATTATATGCACTAAAACATGAATGAATAGGTATTTAATCTGTTATTACATCATGGAATATGACTATCATTTTATCCATTAGTTGTTTGACTTTATACAAAATCTAACCATGGTTAGATTCTTTTCTAAAAAGAGTCATCAAATTTGATTTTTTTATTAGTATACATGTCTCTCCTTATTTAATGTATTTAGTAAAGTATGTATTTTTTACAATATATTCATTTATAGAGCTGAAAAATATTTAAAGTTGTTGATGGTACCTGTTGATGTTATATTATTTATTTTGTGGAATGATTCTACCTCAACTTTTAAAACAAATGATTTGGTTTTTCCAAAATACTATGAAAGGGGTACATATTTTACATATTTAATCAAATTTATCATATATTTATTGGACACTTATACAGAGAAAATCACTACTATTTTTAAGGAGCAAATTTAAGAATTACTTACTCCTTAAAATTTTTGTCTTGGAGAAATGGTACATTCTAACTTTTAATTGGCTCCTATTTTAAATGAAAATATTTAGAACCATGATTAGATTTGCTGAAATCTCTGTACTTTTTATACACTGTAATTATCCAAGTGCCTTAACAGTGAGCTTTATTTGGTTTACTTGATTAAATGGTGACTGGGAAGGTGTACTAGGAACTTCAGGAATTTTTTTGAACCGGTTGGGTACCGTTTAGTAACCTCCTTCTTAATCTATTGTAAGATGATATTCATCTTATTACGTCATGATTAGCCAGATTTTTTTCAACAAAATTTCTATCTTCTCTGCTTTTCTGTTTTATAAAAATAGTCTAACTGAAATGCAGATATAGCTACTTACGTATGTAATGTATGAGACTGAGCTGAGTAATTTTTTGCATTTTGTTTGGCAATTACAACCTTTTATTTATTTATTTTTAGGAAGGATCAAAATAGTTTCTTATTCTCTCTCTTGGTCTAGACAGTTCAACACATTTTATCACTTCTATAAAAACTTCTAAACATAGTTGTTCTAAGACATAAAATTAATGTTCTTTAAAATCTTTTCATTTTTTATGTAATTGTGAGTAAAAGATGGCTAAACATCAATTTTTAAAATATAAATTTGCTTCTAAAATAAAGGATAAAGATATTTTGTTCTCCATAAAAACTAGATTTTAGGAATAAAGTCTAAGCAGACTAAGGCTTTAGGTGATTAGGAATAAATTACTAGAAGATACAAATGTGAGGTTTATCTTATTTGTTTTAAGCTACTGAGGACTGTAAATAAAATGTTGGCACAGTTTTGTAAGATCATGTCATTGCTGCCATTGCGTCATTTCTTTGCATTAATGTGCGTAATATACGTTTGTAGCCACATTGTATACAAGAGTTAAATATAAAATGTGTTACTAACTTTAACACCTTACTATTGTTCTTAATAAGCTTTTCAGTCTACGTTCAGTATTATTTTCTTATTTTTGAAGAAAATGGCAAATTTAAAATCTTTTTTTACTCTTAATTTTGTATCTCATAATTTTATGACATAAAAAAGAGATACCATTTATATGCTGTGTGATTTTCCACGCCTATTTAGAAAAAAATAGGTGAAGCCTGATTTGGATAGAAAAAATAGATAAAATACTGATAATTATCCAAATTTTCTTTTAAAAAATTTAAATTACATACTGTTTTTTCCTTTTTTGTTTATATAGAATTGTTCTTATTTTAGGGGATCTGATTTATTGATTGCAAATGAATACACTCTTCTATTCTTATTGAGTGGTCCCTTGAACAAAATTTAATATTTAGCTATTATCAGACTTTTTAAAACTAAGAGCAATTTTTTTAAAAGGGCACATGTCCTATTAACCAAATTTCCTTTAGAGTTTAGTGTCAGTGTCATCACAAACCATTTTGGGGTCACATAGGCACTGTCCTAGTCTGTTTAGATTAACTCTTCATCCCTTAAAAAATACATCAGGTGTTTGGAGTATCTTTACAGTTTCTGTAATCAGGACAACTAAAAATGAAATGGAAATCAAAATTTTGACATACATTTTCCATATAAATGCCATTAATATAAACATATTTTTGCTTATAAAATAGGTTACTATTGTAAAAAAAATAAATAAAATAGGTTACTATTGTAACAACATTTATGTATTTAAAATAACATATTTATGTATCTCAACCTTTTTTACATATATGTATATGCATGGAAAGGAAAAGAAATGAATGTATTTATAAATGTTTTTGCAGTATTATCAATAATATCACTATAAGTAATTCTCTGCTAGTCTTAAAAATGGCCATCTTTTAAGTCTCACTTTGGAATAATTTTAACGTCTTTTACAAGACAGGTTTTCAGAATCAAGTGTCCCCCTGAGAATCCACACTGTACATGGACCTTATAGCTTTCTTAACACGTAGAAATGCTCTAGCCAATACTCACATTTCCCTAGCAAATTTAACATTCTACCTAATATTCAAAGATTTGAAATGCTCAGTGGATAAGAGAAATTTCAGTTATAACCAACCTAAAATAAATGGTTTGGCCAATTTAAAATGTAAGGTATTTAAACAATTTTCAAAAATAACTATTTTTGTAGAATGCCACTTTTAAAATTATTGTACTGAAGTTAATTATTGCCCTATTGCTAGTTGGACCTATACATTTATGAAATTCTGAATTCATGAATATATTTCATTAAGGAGCACCTTATCACTGAGAAATAATACTATTTGCTATATAATTATAAGATTTGTTTGAGTATACATATTGGTTTAAATATGAAAAATAAACCATAAATATTTCCTTTATTTAAGGCTGAAAAATCTGATAAAATCTTATTTATCAAGCTACTTCAAAAAGTTCATGGAAAAATAGAATTAAAAGATAATACAGATATTACCATGAAGTTTTTGAAGACCCCCTCATACTATAATTTGTGAACATATTTAGATAATTTGATTATTATGACTAAGCTTATGAATAAATAAGTCAACATAGTCAATTTGATAGGCTATTCAATTTGATTCTTTATACTGAAATTCATGTGAGAAATGCTGCTAACAATAAATTTACTATTACTGTCCTCTCTGTTGTTTTCTGTTATTTAACTTGAAGTTCTTATCATCAATGTATACCTATTCGTATGGAAATATAGAGAAAATATTTATTAATTTAAGATGTAGTTTAATACTATAGTCATAGTTATGGTTTGTGTTATCCCTGCAATATGATTTATGCTGAAAATGGGTATACAGCTGGCCACAAACTCCTGTATCATGGGATTGAACTTCAATTGACAAATTTTGATGTAAGTTATTACAGTTTGATGTAACTGTGCCTATTTTATAATAAGTTTTTGTTGTGATGTCTTTGTTAGTTGAATTATATTCAGTATTAGATGAATACTTATTCTATTTTAAGCATTTTTACTGAGTCTTTTTGAATGGATTGTAATCAAACTTCCATTCTCAGAAACTAAAGTTATGTTCTTTTATAGTATAGGATTTTTCTTTTTTCTTTTCCCTAGCCTGTGCATTGAAATAGTATTTTTCCGTGTTTGCAAGCTCATCATAGATTTGTAAGGAAAATATACGAAGGTTTTTATTCATAATTGTGTTTTTTAAACAGAGAGTGAAAAACAAGTCATTGGAAGATGTGGTTATGTTAAACGTTGACACAAACACTTTAGAATCACCATTTAATGACTTGAGCAACGTACCAAGTGATGTGGTAAGTCTGAAGGATATTTTGTGGTGAACATATATATTTATCCTGAACCTTTGAATTAGTAACAGTTATTTTCCCCACTTTTTCTATCTGAAATAAAAGGGTTGGGTGTATGCTGGGGTGTGAGAGCAATCAATGTAGATTCTATTTTTAATATTTTTACCTTTTGTGATGTTGAATGAAACATCATATTCCTTATTGTAAAAGTAGGATCATAATTAAAAAGCTGGATGCATTCATTAGGCAGAGTTTCTTTAAATGTAAGGCTCTTCATCTCATCTTAATCATTATGTTACAAAGTAGGCATTTCTGTCTGCCTAGTGGCATGTCTTGCAAAAGAATGAGAGAGTTTTTGAAGGCAAGAAGAAGAAGGGGGCCAATTATCGGCTTTTGCTTTCCTGCCACCTGCCAGCGCTTTTCCTTTTAATTAATGATCTGATGTTACTGGTCAATATAATAAGAAATGCTTGTACAGTTGGGGTCAGAAAATTCTGTCTTTGATCTCCCTCAACTTTCTGAAACATTTATTTGTTTTCTCTAAATTATTTCAGTTTTATTTTAATCTCTTCTATCCTGCTGAGGGCCACAAGAATGAAAACCTACACTGTTTGTCATTTGCTTTGGCAGAGCAAAGACTGCTTACTTAGAATTCTATTTGTAAATTAAACTGCAAACCCAGTTTGTCATAAAAGACATCTGATCCTTTTGAAATGACGAAAACTGTCTTTTGTCTGTAAAGGCTGATAAATTAAGTGCCAGTTCTCTTCTGGTCTTTGATCTTGCAGAGGGTTTGTGTGTGTGTGTGTGTGTGTGTGTGTGTGTGTGTTTATGTGTGTGAGTGTGTGTCTGCAGCTTATAACGGGACATATTCTGTATTTCATGCTAAATAGTCTCCAAAAGAACATTTTTTGGCCTTTGTATTCCTTAGTATAGGCCAAAAATGAAAATTAGTACTGTTTCTGTATATATTTTAATGGCTGTCTAAAAATATCTTTATAACAGAGTTATAATTTAAATAACTCCCATTTAAAAAAAATCAAAGTATTCATTCTTTTCAAGGATATTAAAATTTGCGAATAAAAACCCCTTCAGAATATATTTTTCAATAATATGAAATCCATTATTAAGGAGTTTGAAAAAGTGAATTTAAAAATCCAAACTCAAAAAATACAGTAATACTAGCTTTGATTCTTCTTATGACTAGTGATAGGAAAAAAAATTTGCGAATAAAAACCCCTTCAGAATATATTTTTCAATAATATGAAATCCATTATTAAGGAGTTTGAAAAAGTGAATTTAAAAGTCCAAACTCAAAAAATACAGTAATACTAGCTTTGATTCTTCTTATGACTAGTGATAGGAAAAAATATGGTTTTATTGTTGTTTTGGGGTTTTTTTTTTGGCGGCTGGCCGTTATGGGGATCCGAACCCTTGACCTTGGTGTTATATAACACTGCTCTCACCAACTGAGCTCACTGGCCAGCCCTGGAAAAATATGGTTTTAAAGTAAAAATCAGATTATTTATGCCCATAAATAACCTAAAATACTTGCTGACCTTGAAGCACATTAAAATTGAACCGCTTTATCTTACTATAGTAAAATTTATGCTATGTGTGAACAAATTCAAACCCAGGCCAGTGAAAAATTACATTAACTTTTTAGCTCATTATAACTACATCGCCTCATTATAAAATTTCTCAGAAATTGCTAGAAATGATTAGAGTAATTCATTTAGAAATCCATCAAAGTGTTATTCAGTGGATAGAGAAATAATTAAGAAAATAGAATCTCAACTTTTAAGAATGTTTTCCTTATGTGCATGTATTTCCTGGTGTTAATGCCCTAAGGAAAAAGGATTGTTTATTAAAAAAAAGGAAAAAGAATGAGAAAGAAATTCAGCTTTTCTGTATATGATATTAAAAGTTTTATGGTCTACTTCAGTGATAGATGATTCTTTGAGAAAAACAACTTTAAAATTTGATTTTTTGATGAGCTATTCCTTTTTAATTCAGAAGTACTACTTTTCTAGTAGAATCAGTTTGGTAATTAAAACACTTATTTAAATGTATGGGGAAGTTAAATAATATTTACAAATGTAAAGTCTAAATAAAATGACAGAAGGAGCCATCTTGTAGTTTATTTATAAGCAACAGTGTAACTAAACATAACTGAAATATTTAAAAATATAAATAAGAAGGAACACTGCAAGGTGGTGTAAATTGATTAAATATATGCTTGAAATGAAGGGCCACAGACTTAACTGACAAATTTGAAGAATGGACAAATCGAAATAGCTCTGAGATGGAGCAAGGACCATCTACTGAAAGTATGAGATGTTTTGAAGTAATAGTAATTTTCTAAAAATATTTTAAGTGATTGTTTAACCCATCTCTAATAAATTTAACTTTTTCATCAGTTTTCCAAAGCAATATCTTATAGTTCTGGAAGAAATATGATGAAGTATCTCACCATAGTTTTACAAATTGTAAATGTTTTAAAAAGACGTGTTAAAATCACAAATGATCTTACTGAATATTTTTTCTTTGATTTGAATTAATAAAATATACTTGAAGCCTGAAAAATGTTACTTTTGGTATTGTTTGATAGTTTAATAAGTTAACTGAGATTTAAATGGGGGGCCTTTTAAAACCATTCACCACAGCACTTAAATTATACTTACAGGCTAGATGACTTTCTATGCATGTGCACTCTATTATTGTGTCACATTGACCAGTGGTCTGGGCTGTTCAAAGGTCAGTGGTCACAGTTGTCCTGAATTACTAGTTCTTTTTTCCTGTGGACCCTCTGCTGTGTTGCATGCTGTAATCTTCTTAATGGCTTCATTCCAATATTCACACATAATATTTTAGATTTATTGACTGTTAGAAATACTACCATGCCAGTAGCAGTTCCGCTACTCTTAAGGTATTTAAAATTGGAAAAATAAATCAGGGCAAAGCTTTCAGGAATCCTTTGTTTTCCTTAAGGGAGGGGGAACAACTCTCTTCCTGTCTTCTGACAAGAACACTTGTTTTTCTATTTCATCATTTCACTATAGATTTGGGTCATTAAAAGGAAAAAACAAATATTTTATTGGGAGTGATTTTAACGATATTGATTATTAGATAGAATAACTTTTAAAGGCATTAGAACCATTAAAATACTCTTTTTTAGTTTTTGTCTATGAATATATTATGACTTATTTTTCTAGTGGCTATGCCATACAGACACCTTCAAACATACATAGTTTGTTTGGAAATAAAAAAGGTAAATTTGGGGGCTAACTAACAGTATTAGTTAAAGTTAGTTTTATTGTGGTATGTTTACGAGGCTGGTAATACAGAATCAGTACTAAATATGACATTTGAAACCCAGATGAGTTCATTTTAATTTAAGAAAATACACAATTGAAACCTCCCATTCCAAATATATGTAGAAATTTAGTTTAACTACATAATAATTTCAAATGTTCTATTTCTGAGGCATTACTGCTCATTTTAGTTTCTATCATCATGAACATTTTTTAAAGTAATTAGAATTGTTACTATTTCAAAATAGGGTAACCCATTTATTGAAAATTAAGCTAATAATTAGAATTATAGTAAGATTTAAGAAATCTATCCTTATTTGAATATTAAGTTAAACAATTATAAACTACTCCTCTAGATAAAAGCAGGTTATAATTGACATCTAAAGAAGTTACATGCTTAGAGTACTCATTACCACAGGCAAGTGAATTTTGACCTATATTGCTTAACTGTCTTTAAATAATTTTAACCCATTAGATTATAAAAAATAATATACTCTGAGATAGGTCAATATGCTTATTCCTACTTCAGATAAGAAAATCAAGGCACAGAAAGAATAGTGTTCAATGTGTACGTATAATTTTAATTCATGTGGGTGATTCTGAGACCTGTGCCCCAAATGGTATACCATAAGCCCTCTCATGTAAATGTGAATAGAACTTTAGTTCACGTGGGTGATTCTGAGACCTGTGCCCCAAATGGTATACCATAAGCCCTCTCATGTAAATGTGATATTCAATATAATGAGTAACTCATTTAAAATTTAATATAGAAGCTTGTTCACTATTCTGATCTGTTAAAGAAATATCAATATGATCTATTTGATTTAAGTTAGGATTTTCAGCACTGATTTAAAAATTTTATTTTATCATGTATGTAATACTATTGGAAAATAATTTTCTATTTTCTGCTGTGAGGGTGTGTAGAAAATATGGTGCATTTAAGAGTTACTGTACAATTCACTGTAGACAACAGTATCTTATAGGATAGCTGTATTTGGTGGGAAGTATATTTAATTACTAAGACATTGAAAAGACTTTATTGTAAAATGATGTTACATAAAATACTGTGCATGTTATAGTGAAGTTTTCAAGTATCATATTAAGAATATGTTAATGGTTTTATTGTGATACAAAAAGGAAAGACACAAAATGCTCTGAATCACCAAAAATCATTAAAAGCCTAAATAACTGTAGAAAACCCCTAAAACCCTGACTTTAAAGATTTTTGGATATCTACATTCTCATGAGTTTAATAATTTGGGAATAAGTTTGGGAAAGAACTGGCTTCTTTGGAAAATTTTTAAATCAACTTTTTAAAATATAAAAAAGTATATAAAAATTACACTCTTACAACTATGCAACTTGTCAATAGAAATGTTTAATTCATTGAATATTTTCTCTAATCTAACATGAAAGTTTAACATGTTAAATTGTCGTAATATATGTTATAAAGGAAAAAAAAAAGGCCCCAGAGAATATTATATTAGTTCCAGGTTTGCCACAGCTGTGTTATAATCCTTATAGTATTTAATGGTAAGTGAAGTTCCTAGCATATTACTAGGGTGGCCAGGTTAGAAAGATAACACAATTTCATTGAGCTTCTAGAGTAATTTGGAGAACGTTTTATTTAGTTCGTAGAGTAGACTTGAGGAGACACATTTCTTTCAGTTTGCCCCTGGAGAATATAGTCAT